TAAGATCATTTGCTCACTCGCTCTTTCTGTATTTATTGAGGGTCCACTATGTACCAGGCACTGTTCTAGGCTCTGAGGATTCAGCAGTTGAGAAGCCATGCAAGTGCCTCTGGCATGGGGTTTACAGACTAGTGACTAGAGATAGACAATAGATAAATAAACAAATATGCAACACTAAGTTGCAATATGCAAATCCATTTATAATAGGTCGGTGATGATAAGAGCCACAAAGTGATAATTTGGAGAAGGAAGAAAGACAGAGGGTCTTCCACCGGAAAGGTAGTCAGGGAAGGTGACATTTATCGAGGACCCTGAAGGAATTAAAGGAATGTTCTAAGCAAAAAAAATTCCGTGAGCAAAGAAGGATCCATGGAAGGGAACCAAGAGCAAATGTCCTGAGGAGGGAGCCGTGGTTGATGTGTTTGCAGAACCTCAAAGAGCCCAGAGGTGCCAGAGTGGAGCAAGTGTCTTGGAGAACAGAAGGAATGAGGGCAGAGAGGGGGAGGGGAGGGGAGGGGAGGGGAGGGGAGCAGATGGCCCAGGTCTGTAGGGCCAGTGGGCTGTCTTTAGGACTTTCCATTTATTCTGAGAGCAGAAGCCTTCGGAGGACTCCTGTAGGGGAGTGGCATGGTCAGATTTACATTTTGCAAGCATCACTCTGGCCGCAGGGCAGAGAATAGACTGGGGAGAGGGCAGAAGAGGGGGGCCCAAGTGCGGGCTACTGCAAGTTATAGAAAAGGCAAAAACCCAGTTTCTAGGCGTAAGCCCTTACAGATGTTATCTCACGGGAACGAGGAGAGTAGAGGCTCCAGACCCTTACAGCTGTGTGATTATTCCAACTAGGAGCCACATGTTAAAAATTAGTTTAGTAGATTAAAAAAATTGTTGATAATAATGTTTAACTAAAACAGAGGTCATGTACTAAAAATAAAGACACCCCTTCCAGTCTTACCTCCCACAGGACACCTGTGTTAACAGTTTCTTATGAATTCATTCTTGCAGGGATTTTCCGCATATTGTTTACATGTACTTTCCCCACCCCGTACCCTGTCCCCATGAATAGGATTACACTTAATGCAGCATTATTTTGCACATAGCTTTTTTTATTTAATGATTTAGTGCTGGCATATTTCTCTATTTGCATGAAAGGGCTCACCTCACTGATTTTAAGGTTGCCTGGGATGGCGCCATGTGGGTGGCCCATCCATCACATATTTAACCGGTCCCCATGAATGGGCATGAAGGTAATTTCCAAGTTTTTTGCAATCTTAGACGATGATGCAAAGTCTATACATTTTTGCACAGTTGTCTGGGCACGCCTGCAGGGTAAATTCCTACAAGTGGAATCCATGATTTGGTGCATCTAACGTTCTGATGGATATCTTCCAATGGACTTTCCCACCCGCCAGGTACGAGAAGGCCTGCTTCTCACACCCCCATGACACAGGCTGGTGTCACACTTTTAAATCTTTGAAAACCCACTTTGACTTTAAAACTTCAAGGCCAGACAAAAATGAAGCACATGTACATTTATATGATGCTTCCCACGTTTCAGTTTTCTTATTGATCTCCTTTGATTCTCAGAAAATCTTAGGAGGCAGGAACCATGCTCCTTCTTAGAAGAATTTAAGGAACCATCGGCCCCCTTTTCCACAGAAGAGCAAAGGGAGAAATTATATGATTTTCTCAGTGTGAAAAATTTAGACAAAACTAGAAATCATGTTTCACGTTCCTTCCCCTGTACCTCCCCAGGCACGGTCCACCCAGCAGCCTCCACCCACCCCTACTGGCCCCAGCTCGGAGGCTGCCTGGGGCTGGACACTGGCCTCTATCCTGCCCTCTCCTGAGGACATCTGACCTGAACTCTGGTTCAGAGGGGAGCAGGGGGCTGACTTCCTCTCCCTGGGGAGATGGAGGGGACAGATGGTGGGAAGGGAGGCCGGGAGGTGAGAGCCCGAGGCCTGTGGGAGCAGCTGCAAAGCAGCGTGGTCAGATGCCTCATCTGGCAGGACCCAGGACCCAGTGAGGACTCTGAGGCTGTCGCCTGAGCTGATCTGGGAAGTTGCATCTTGGCCTAACTGGCGTCCATTCTCTCTGAATCGGATCAGCAATTTCAGCTCTGTTCCCCAATACCCACCACTCCCCCGCCCACCTGGCGCTCTCTGTGAAGGATGTCATCACTGTGGGGAGGAGAAGAGTCCCACAGGTCCGGGCCTGGGTGCAAACCAGAGGCAGGGTGCTGACCCCTATCTCTGCGGGGCGGGGGGGGTTGCTCCTCCAGCAGCCCTGCCCTCCCTGTCTGTCATACCCCACCCCAGGCCCTGATGCCCCTTCCGAGATGTTCAGAGGTGCTGCTGGGCCACGTGCTCTATCCTTGTTGCACAGACCTGCAGTCTTACATATGTTCTTTAAAAAAAGAGGGCTCTGATGGAGGCCCACCCAGAATCCACGCCAGAATTGCACGTGCCTCCCACGGTGTCCAATAGGGGCCACCAGACACGGGTGGACCAGTGAGATGTACTACAAATGTATAATACACACCGGCTTTTAAAGACTTGGTAAGGGAGTCCCCTGGTGGTCTAGTGGTTAGGACTCTGCACTCTCACTGCCGTGGTCTGGGTTCAATCCCTGGCCCGGGAACTGAGATCCCGCAAGCCGCATGGTGCGGCTAAACAAAGACTCAGTAAAAGAAAAATAATGTAAAATAGCTCAATATTTTTTTATGTCGGTTATCTGGTGAAATGATAATATTTTGAATATATTGGCTAAAAAAGTATATTATTAAAATGAATTGTACTTTTGACTTTAAAATGTGGCCACTAGAAGATGTTAACCAAGTGGCCGACCTGTCTCCAACTACATTCTATTGAACAGCTCCGGTCTAGACATCTAGTGCCTTATTCATCATCATTGTAGCTGCTGCAAATCCTGCTTGGAAGCAGGTAGTGTATGAGGGAAGGAAGGAAGAAATAAAGTGAGGAAGGGAGGGAGGAGAAGAGGGAGACTGGAAGGTGATTTTCATCTAGGGAGACCTCGTGGAAGGAGCACACAACAATGTCAGATCTCAGTACTGCTATGTGGTTGGACCATCTGGGGCAAGTGACTCAAACTTCTCTGAGCTATAATTTCCTCATTAGTAGAATCGAGGTCATAGCTCGGAAGCTCCTAGCACAGTGGCTGACATGTACGACTTGCTCCGTGAATAACAGTAGTTTTGCATAAGTAGCACCTGCGCCAGCACATGACAGGTGCTCAAGAAAAGCTTTTGAACCCACAAATGTATGCAGGTTTGGGGGGTGTGTGGGGAGGTGGTCGCCCATGCAGTACAATCTGTTTTCGAACATCTTATCTGTCATCGCTATGTGCCCGCCCGGGGGACCGAATGGAACCTCTGTGGAGAGTCACCCTCTCGCCCAGCTTTTTCCTGCCAGGTTGCAGCCTCTTCACCTGTATTCAGCGTGCTTTTCGGTTAGATTGTTCTCCCTTGTGCCCTGGAGACCCGTCTGGGAAGTGCCCTAGTTCCACCTGGAGAACCGCCAGCAAGCGTGGTGGCCGAATTTGCTGTTGCTAGATAACTTCCTGTCGGTCCAGGATGCGGTGAGTTTTAAGTCATTGGCCGTGAAAGGACAGAGAGGTGCAATCCGGTGTCTCCCTTCACATGGTTTGGTGAACTTTCCCAGAGCCAACCTGAGTCTGATCCGCTTTCTTCTGGCATATTCTCTGGAGTAATAGTGATGCTGTGGGTGGGAAGACTAGCCTCTGGTGATGGGGTGGGAGTTACGGCACCATCCCTGACGGGGCACTTGCTGTGAAAGCGGAGCGGGGGCAGGGGAGTGGGTCTGCGGGGACAGCCATCTCGGTGCCTGCCCCGGATGCAGCCGCCCGCTGCTCCGTCACGGTCCGTGTCGCCCCAGGGGGAAGGACACTTTCTTCACCTCCGCCCAGAGAACCAGTAATGAGACGGAACGTGGCACCACCCCCTCCCCGGAATGAATTCTATCCCATGCCCAGCAGGATCTGACAGAGCAACAACGTCTGTATGTGTTGGTCATGGCTTCCTTAAAGCCCTAGTTGCCTCCTAATGAGCCTGGAGCAACTGGAAGTGAAATAGCTATAATTAAACCACGTCACTGCTTTTGCCTTGAAAGCACAGCTGAAAGGAGCATCGCTACAGCGCGGCTGCATAACCGCTGGTCAACCAGACGGCTGCCTCTAGTTCACAAGTGCCCAGCAGCTTCGACGGGGTGTACATCACTGTCTAACTGCCTTCTGGTGGACCACGTCTGTGACAGGGTCCAGGAGGAGAGGCTGGACTGTTTTCCCAGAGTCAGACTGGCTTGGGCCATACGTGGGACAAGGAAAGCTGTCACTTGTCTTGGATAAGTCTGGTCTCCCTGGGGCCGAGGGTGTGGGAGGGGAGGCCAAGGCGCCTTTTATCTCTGAAGCCCTGGAGAGAACTGCCCGCAGGAATTGCCTCACATTGAGTTAGGAATACAGGTAACCGCCTGGTGGCTTTGGCCGCGGATCTCCTGTCAATCATGCGTGGGACCTCTGGGGTTTCCCACAAAAGCTCGCCTGCAGCCAGGCCTCCGTTCTAAATGAACACATTCTCTCCACCTGGAGTTGCGGGAGGGCAGGAAGGCAAGGAAGAGAGAACAACATCGACTCTGACTCCAGCGCACGGTAAGGATAATTAATCCTTACATCCGTGAAACGTGATGGAATTTAGTTCCCACCACTGTCCTGGGAGATTAGCTATTATTGTTGTTTTCAACAAGAGAGAAAAGTTGTATGAATTTCCAGTTTGTAAAATGGTAATAATGTCTACTCCCCCGGGATTGTTATAACGATTCGCTGAGATGAGGTATGTGAAATGTCTGTAACTCAAAGTCCTTTCTATTCCCATGGAAATTTCGCCCACCTGCCTGCTGAGTTCCTCCTCCTGGTCCAGGAAGGTGAACCGATGCAGAGCAGAGATGGTACATGAAGGAGAGAAGTGACCTTTGCTGGTTTCTTTCCAGTGCAACGGCTGGACGTGGTATCTTGCCAATGACTTTCAGTTCCATCTCATGACCCCGGTGATCCTCTTCATCCACGGAAAGTGAGTCTAATTGGAGCAAGTGTTTCTCCCCGTGTGGCCTCTTTCATAAAACTGTTAAGAGAGTCTCCAGTTCTGGGCAAAGCAGCTTTTACGATTTAGGAAACGAACTTTCCAGAAGAGCGAGGACACCAAACCCGCCACTGTTTACTTCTTCCAAGTTCTCCTCTAATCTTTGTCCTACACAATCAGTCTGTATTTTTGCAGTTATAATCAGTGTGTTTGTCATATCCAGTCTCAGTTTTTTCCATTTCACTGTTCTTAGAAACATTTCTGCATCTGGACATGACCTGCTTACTTGTCAGTTTCAGGATTTATATACCATTTTTTATGGTGGGCACCTAGATTGTTTCCAATTTTTAAAAAAATTATTATATATATATATTTATTTATGGCTGCATTGGGTCTTCGTTGCTGCACGCGGGCTTTGTCTAGTTGTGGTGAGCGGGGGCTACTCTTCGTTGTGGTGTGTGGGCTTCTCATTGCGCTGGCTTCCCTTGTTGTGGAGCATGGTCTCTAGGTGCGCGGGCTTCAGTAGTTGTGGCACGTGGGCTCAGTAGTTGTGGCTCGTGGGCTGTAGAGCGCAGGCTCAGTAGTTGTGGCACACGGGCTTAGTTGCTCTGCGGCATGTGGGATCTTCCCGGACCAGGGCTCGGACCCGCGTCCCCTGCATTGACAGGCGGATTTTTAACCACTGCGCCACCAGGGAAGTCCCTGTTTCCAATTTTTTATGATTATAAATGACACCTCAACGAATGTCTTTGAACATGCTACTTTTTCCTCTTCTGTACTTATTTCCTTGGGAGGTTATTTCCAAGTGGAATTACTAGGTCAAAGGGTAGGAACAATTTTGCGGTGCTTGTTACATATTGTGAGATTACTCTTCAGAAAGGTGGAGTAATTTATAGTGTCCCAAGCAATGCATCAGTGTACCTGCTTCCCCACGTTGGATGTTTATCACCTTAATTTTTGTTAGTTTTAGAAAAACTCTTAAGGCCTCAGTAATTCACGGAAGAATTATAGTTTGTGGATTGTGCATGCCATATTTTAAAAGATTTATTATTATTTTTGTTAAAATACATGTTCAATTTAAGAAACATTGGAAAATATTAGGATAAAAAAGGGAAAAAACAATCACCTTAGACCTGTTTCCTCACTTAAGGAGAGGTGATTTTGCTATCCATATTTTTATGTTTATTCTTCTGATCTTTTATTTTGCACAGTTTTTTATACATGAAAGGATTCTGCATATATACTTCAGATCTTTCTTCTAATAGTTTTATGATATAAGCATTTTCCCATATTATTTTATTTTTTAAGTTAACATACTTTTAATGTCTGTATAACATTCCATTTCATGAACGAACTATAGTTTACCTATATCTTCCCCTAGTGTTAAATACTTAGATTATTTCCAATTTTATAAATAACAGTCTCATAAACATTTTTGTGGTAACCATTTGTCTCCAACTCTGATATTTCTAGAATGCATATCCTTAAGAAGAATTACTGGGTCAAAGGGCATGAGTCTTTTGGGCTTTTGAAGTATGATGACAAATTGCTTTCCTTAAAGGCTGTATCAATATTCAGTCCTCTGGCCATCTAATTACACCATTGCCAATATGGACTATTAATAATTTAAAAAAACCCAATATGCAAACCTTGTTATTTTAAGATATGTAAGAAAAATTCATTTTTCACATCTAATTTGTAAGTCTTTGATTACTAGCAGTGGAGCTGAATTCCAAATATGTGTTGACCAGCTCTGTTTCACGATTACCTGTTAATGCCCTTTGCGAGGAGACATTTAAATCACAGGCTGACCCATGATATTGCCCACTCCAGCCACATGCAAGGACTCAAGTATCCTGGGCAAGGAAAATGCATCCAGTTTTTTTTTGTTTGTTTGTTTGTTTTTTGTTTTTTTTTTTTGTGGTACGCGGGCCTCTCACTGTTGTGGCCTCTCCCGTTGTGGAGCACAGGCTCCGGACGCGCAGGCTCAACGGCCATGGCTCACGGGCCTAGCTGCTCCGCGGCATGTGGGATCTTCCCGGACCGGGGCACGAACCCGTGTCACCTGCATCGGCAGGCGGACTCTCAACCACTGCGCCACCAGGGAAGCCCTTTTTGTTTGTTTTTTTGGTGGCGCTGCATGGCATGCAGGATCTTAGTTCCCCAACCAGGGATCAAACCCATGCCCCCTGCACTGGGAGTGTGGAGTCTTAACCACTGGGCTGCCAGGGAAGTCCTTCCAAATTTTAATGTATCCTAAGAATTGAATAATTTTTAAAAAGGCAGATCTGTCTATTTACATGCATATCTGAAGCACGTGAAGATTCCTAACTTCAAATGTAGAAGAGTTTTTGGCTGACCACTTAAAAAACACTGTTCCATGCTTCCACTAGGCACAGAGGTAGTTTGCTGGTATAGTGAGCTTGAGTCAGAAGATGTAGTTCAAATCATGACTGATAAATTACCAGCTGGGGGACCCAGTGTAAGTCGCTGGACTCTCATCTTCATTGTTCATGTCTATGAGATGGAGACGATATACTTCACATCAGGGCCAGAGGAGAAAGTGAGATCATACATATGGGAGCTAGCACAGTACCCTCTGTGATGGGCTATGGCTGCTGGAAGGGCTCTGGAGACATGGCGGGTGCCTGCAGGTATGGGTGGGCAGGTGCGTGGCTCAGCCAGCCCTGAAGCCCCAGCCAAGGAGAAAGGGCAAGCCTCTACTGGCTCCCTCCGAGGTGCACTGGCAGCAGGATGCCCTGACTGCTGGTCAGGTGTTTAGTGGAGAAAGGGTTGGTTTCTTCTGAGGCCTCTCTCCTTGGCTTGTAGATGGCTGTCTTCTCCCTGGGTCATCACACGGTCTTCCCTCTGGGGTATCTGTGTCCGAATCTCCTCTTCTTATAAGGATACCAGTCATATTGGATTAGGGTCCACCCCAATGACCTCATTTCACCTTAATTATCTCTTAAAGACCCCATCTCCAAATAGAATCACACTCTGAGGTCCCGGGGTTTAGAATGTGGTTGGGTGGGTGTGGGGGGTGGGGGACAAAATCCAGCCCATAATAGTCTGTATTAGGAATCTTTTATTAGAGTCTTTGTAGCGGTGGTAGCTAGTGGAGACTTGTCTGACTCCTGAGAAGAGGTACCATGGTTTGGGCTCCAGTCCTTCAGGGAGTTAAACAAATATTTCCTTGGGTGGATGTGGGTTTTTACTGGATGGCCTGACTGAATGGTTTACTACCCACAGAGGACAGTGAGTTCTTAGTACCTCCCCACTCTAGACCTGGTGGGAACCTACTTGAGTGTCCTTATGACTGAGGCATCCTGGCCCCAATGTCAGCATCTTTCCGAGAGGCTGTCATGGAAGGTAGATTTCAATTCCTCAGCTAAAAACCAGCATTACCCAAACTTGTGACTACGCTACTACATTTAGCCTCTAAATGAAAAGAGGTAATAAAAGGAAGGGCTTTTGTTCCTTCAGATAACACACTCTTATAGAATTCTAGTAATTCAAGGAGGACTGAACTGGAGGGTCTGGCAAAAGGCAGGGTAAACATACAGCATTGTTACCATACCTTCCCTGCCCACACTCATGGCAGACATTACTAGTCAATCACTGCACCACTGAGCTAGGATTACTCTTCCATTCCAAGCATTAACACTAAACTAGAATTGCCACTCTAGATAAAAATGATTTTCTCCCTGTATCACTGTGGTGTTAAGCAAATGGTATCTCGTCCCTTCCTCGTGAAGAACCATGGCAACTTCGAGCACTGGAATAGGACTGCTAAAGGCAGGATTGTGCTGGTTGGTTTGGCACTCATGTTTGACAATTCTTCCATACCACTGCAGAGTCTCCTGGTCCCGACCCTCACAATTCCAAGTCGATACAACCAAACAGTGCCTTGCTCTGAGCCTGTGTCCCGAAATCTCATTTCCTGCCCCAGAACTGCCCACATACTACAGCTGGGACTCCTTCAGGAACCCTCTCAGCCTTACACGTGCAGAGTCCCAGACTGTGAAGGAGTTAATTTTTGTGGGGCCACCTTTGACCCAAGGGGGTATAGAAGACAGTAGGAAAATGCTTCTTTCTTTCATCCCCCAGGACAGTTTTGAGTTGGCTCCACAGAACATTCTGGCATTGGCCACCATGATACTGCATCTTTGCATTGGCCTTCCTGCTTCCCTATTCCAACCCCATCCCTTATTCCTACCTCCACATGAAGTACCTGCACCCTGATATCTGTCAGATTCTCCGTTCGGGTGGGTGGAGGGTCCCTGTGTCCCACCTGTGCCTGTCTCCTGAATCAACCACCACGTCTGTCCATACAGTGCTTCATGGGTGGCAAGGGAGATTCCCAAGCACGGTCTCCTTTTGAGCTGCACAGTAAGTTTCAGGGTGAAGATGAAGAAATTCAAGTTCAAGGCCCTGCCCGGGGCCCGGCAGCTAGTAAATGGTCAAGACTAAAGGCTAACTGAGGCTCTCTAACTCCAACCCAGCTCCGGCCCCACTCGGCCACAACTGCGCCCATGGCGCCCTCTCTCAAAGGCAGGCTGGCAGGAAGCGCCTCTGATTGCCAAGGTTGCAAGTCTTTCGTGTCCACACATTTTGCGGTGAAGGAAAGTGAACGTCCTTTCTTCTTTGCAGAAATCAACACGCCCTTGTCCTCCACGGGGCCACGCTGTTCTTGGCATCTTTCACCGCCTCTGCTCTGCTCACACTGGCTTATAACCTTCCGGTGGCAGCTCCGTCAGAAGCAAGGTAACCGCGGTTCCCAGCCCGCCCTGCTCTATCCCTCGCCTGCCCTCGGACTGTCCAGGACCTCCCAGGCAGGGCTGCTGTATGGATGCCAGGCTCTTTGCACTGTGCACATCGGCTCCTGGAAAAACTCCTGGGTGGGAACTGTTCGGCCTTGACGGGAAAGTTGATTGCGTGTTTGTTTCCAAACTTCTGAACCTTTCAACTTGTGCTGGGGGTCTGCTCTGAAAACACAGGGAACTCACTGTTGCCCATTGAAATACTTCTCGGAGGAAAGGAGCGCCCCCAAGTGGCCGTACTGCGTTTCTCCTCCAGCGGCGAACTGCCGCTTGGAATCTCTATTATGGAATAGATAGACTGAAATTTAAGGAAGCTGGGGTTACCTCTTCAAGGTCACACGCCTAGTAAGTGATACGGTTGTGAGCTGAACCTGGGACCTTACCCACTATGCTATTTTGCCTTTCCAATGGGGGTATGTATAACACTTCTTCCTTATAACCACCCTGAGTCTTCTACAGGAAAAACTGGTAAGATTTCCTGCTAATCTATTCTCAAGGCAGCAGTCAGAGAGATGAAAATGAAAACCGGATCCTGTCAGTCATCTGCTCAAATTCCTCCATTGGTCTCAAGGCAGAATCCCTGTCTGACTTCATCTATCACTTCCCTGCTTGCTGACTCAGGACCAGCCACGCTGGCCTCCTTCCTTCCACACACCCAACATGCTCCCTCCTCAGGGCCTTTGCACTTGCCATTCCCTCACAGGAGAATACTTTTCCTTTAGAATCTAGATCTTGGCAGGGCTAGCTCCTTCACTTCCTAGAGGTGTCTGTGCATACATCACCTTCTCAGAGCAACCTTCACTGACCTCCTGATGTAAAATAGCCCAGAACCGTGTCTGGCACAAAAGTGCTCAAAATGCATTGTGAGTGGAATAGATGAATGAATGAGTGACTGACTACACCCCAGGCCTTTTGACCAGGGAAGCATCATGCCCTTCTCGTCATGACATCAGCCTCTGTGGGCATAGCCAGGTGACCGAGAAGGAGGCTGGCCCCTGTGTAGCCCAGCTGTTCTCAACTCCAGACGCAAATGAGAGTCACTTGGGGAGATTTGAAATCCCACTGATGCTTCCAGCAAGCACCATCCTGGACCAATGGAGTCAGAATCTCCGGGGGTGTGGCCCAAGCAACCGAATTTTGTAAGTGCTTCCATGAAGAGGTTCACTCCTTTCAGAAGAGGTTCACCTCTGGGAACCACATTTTTAGAGCTATCCCAGCATACCAGCCACCAGAAACAACTATTTAAAATTGGGCTTCCCTGGTGGCGCAGTGGTTGAGAGTCCGCCTGCCGATGCAGGGGACACGGGTTCGTTCCCCGGTCCGGGAGGATCCCACATGCCGCGGAGCGGCTGGGTCCGTGAGCCATGGCCACTGAGCCTGTGCGTCCGGAGCCTGTGGTCCGCAACGGGAGAGGCCGCGGCAGTGAAAGGCCCGCGTACCGCAAAAAAAAAAAAAAAAATCCAACCCACCTAACCATGAAGTTCCAGAAGAGGGGTTTGCCATTGCCATCCTACTGGGTGTGTTTCCCCATATCAGTGGTTTCTCTGGCTCTGTACCAAGGCTCTGACGGGTGGGATGCCTCCTCATTGCCCACTCCTTCCCATGCGATCACCCACCAAGCCCCACCGGTTGTTTCTCCTGCCATCCTCTCGTAGCCTTTCCAACTGACCTTGCTGAAGCTCATCTCATCTCTTACTTGGATTTCTTCACAGTTTTATTGCTTCTTGTCTTCTTGATGTCAAATCCACCCACAGGGCAATCTATTTAACATACTACCTTGGCCTTGGACTGTGCAAAACCTTTTCATATGACTTTTGTTGATCCATAAGACCTTGAGGGCAGAACATGTCTTATTTACCTCTGAATTTCTAGCACCTGGTTCTGAAATCACTCAATAAATGAATGACAGATAATTTGCTTCTCAATGGAAGAAAGGCCAAGAATTCCCTGCATTATTAGGGTGCAATGCTGACCCCAAATCCCCACTGCTAGGCCCTACCTTGGTTTGCTTAGGTCTTGTGGGTACCTCACCTAAACGTTCTAGAGATGAGGCACTGGTCCTTGGAAAATCTTGTGTTGCTCATAGCAGGAACAGGAGCTAGGGCTTTATTGGAAGGAATGGATACACAGGTGCTACATGTGTATTTTCCTATAGGTTGGAGTTATGATATTCCCCTGAAAATGCACAATTCAGTTGTAGATTACAACAGAGGACCATTCAAGAGGTGCTTTAGCGTAGTCCAGGTTCATGGTGCCCAGGGAGAAACTGGGTGTGAGCAGAGGGGAAAACCTAAGATGATGATGGGGCATTTGGGAACCACTCAGAGGACCAGGTCAGGACCAGGGAGCATGGAGCTAGAACCCAAGTCAAGCAGAGCTGGAGGAATGACTTCGTTCAGATGAGTAGGCCAAGTACCAACTGTAGAAGCCAGAAAATAAGAACACAGAGTCCCAGCTGGAGGCAGCTGAGGCATATTCCACGTGGTAGGAATAAGGCAGTGTGCATTCTGAGTAAGAGTGAAGGGACCCTAGGCTAAGAGGAGGCTTGTGGAGAGCCCCTGAGGAAGTAACTTTGTGCCTTGTAGCCGGAGCCTAGGGCAGGAATCTGAGACCCAAAGAGGGGAGAGCTTCTCTTTAGAGACAAGACGGTAGAGTGATAAGATGCTAGTTCAGGTTGATGTAGATGTCATCATAGCACCTTGAGAACTGGAACAGAGAAGCAAGAGAGACCCTTGGAAGACAGGTCTGGGCCTAAAAAGGTCAAGTAAGGTGACATCTAAGATCTTGAACTGAGCCCAGTAATAGGATTTAACTCACGGGGCTATTCTGTGAGCTGGAAACATCTCCATTCTCCCATTCCTTCCGCCATTTTATGTCCCTAGGGACAGGTGCAGCCCGGGTACAGACTGTGTGCTGGGGCCCCCTCACATTTATGGTAGGGGGCAGAAGCAATCACGGAGCCGTATGTGGCTAAGGAACAGAATGGGAGGTTAGGAGTGGTGGGAGTGGGTTAGAGCATTACTTTTTTCTTTTAACTTTCATCTAAAAATGACTTAAGAGTCACCAAGAGTCGCAAAAATAGTAGAGGAGATCTTGTGTACCCTTGACCTACGTTTCCCCACCAGGAATATGTTAAGGTAGCTATGGCACATGATCACAACCAAGACATTGACATTGACATTGACACAATCCATAGACCTTAGATCCACCAGTTTCATGTGCACTCGTTTGTGTGTGTGTATAGTTCTGTGCAATTTTAGCACGTCTGTAGATTTGTGTAACCATCACCACCACAATCAAGGTACAGAACTCCTCTGCCACCAAAAAGTTCACCCTTGTGCTGCCTCTTCGTGGCCACACCCCCCCACTGTCCCCTACCCCATCCCGACCCTCATCCCGGTAACCGCTAATCTGAACTTTCTATTCGGTCAGATTTGGTCATTGATTGAGGTTTACAAATAGACCCCTAAAGTCACTAATAACACACAAAAAGTGAGCGTAAAATGAATTAAATACACAATGGCTCAAACGGGCTGTGAACGGTGGCTTTCCTTTCCCTGTAGGTGCAGGCTCTGCTACGGTGGATTTGCTCTCTGTCGACCCTGTCCCCAGTGGCTGCCCTGGCATACATGGTGGGTGACGCGTCCGCCGCCTCTTCAGTTGCCGCTGCCGTCACCAGGCCCTCCACCGGCCCCTGTGGGCTGGGTATTGTTTGCACGTCAGGAAGGCTACAAAGTAGGATGCAGTGACGCAGCACGGGGCTTGCTCCGGGCTCACACACTGGCCTGTTAAAGGCGACGGTGTGGAAACATATGTACCCAGAGAGACTTTATTTGCTACTGAATGACTGATAGTGACTCAAAAACATCCATCTGTCTAAATACTTGGGGAAACCCACTCACGTATTCTGGTTTAGATGTCTACACTGGTTTCTATACAAATGCAGGTTCTGAAAGAAAAATTTGCAGCCTCTCCAACGAAGCTAGTTTAGAAATTGGAAAAGAACAGGTAGGGGGTAATGTCGTGAGAAAAAAAAAATTACCAGTGCTGGGACAAGAGTACTGACCGCACCCAGCCTGGGCCTTGGTCTCCTCATCTGAGCGTAGAGACTGAAGAGTTGGCAACATCCCTTTCAGCCCTTTGATGACTGGGGACACTGTTTCTGTTGAGCCTGGCTTTCAGAGTCGGGCAGAAAAAGAGCTTCAATGGAAAGAAAGGGATCATCTCCAGATTAGAAATGTCTATTGAAGTCACCCGACCTTTTCCCCCATTCCTCTCTATTTGGCATGAGGTGCTTGAGGTGTCAGCAAATGACAGAGAAAGGCTGGCGGGATTCACCCAGCAAAGGTTCTGGCCCTGCACTGCCCAGAAGCCCTGAAATGACGGAATCAGAGCCAGGTGGAGGCAACACAACTTTATACCCCTGGGAGATAATCAGGGTGAGTTTAAACTTTGGCTTGTGAACCCAAACCCGTTAACCTCAGCAAAGGTGGCTGGAGAAACCTGATGAAGCGAACATAACAAAGTCCTGCTTACTGAGCACAAGCTTATGCCAGGCCCCGTGGGGAACTTCACCCCTGTGGTCTCGGGCAATACTGGCCACACCGCTACAGGTAGAGCTATAATTAGCTCTGTTTCTCAGTGAGGAAAATGCTGCCTGGAGATGAAGCAGCGTGTGAAGGTCACTCAGCTAGAAAGTGAGCCCAGGCCTGAGGGCACCGCCCACAGCCCCTGCTCTTCATTTCTCTACACTAGCCACGCCCACCCCCAAGATGTTTGATTGTTCAAATTGTTCTTGAGTTTTATGAGTATACAATGATGAGGGATTTGTTCTTTAACTTCAATTTAAAAAAAAAAAAATATATATATATATATTTTTTGGCTGCGTTAGGTCTTCGTTGCTGCGCACAGGCTTTCTCTAGTTGCAGTGAGCAGGGGCTACTCTTGCTTGCGGTGCACGGGCTTCTCATTGTGGTGGCTTCTCTTGTTGCGGAGCACGGGCTCTAGGTCCGCGGGCTTCAGTAGTTGTGACTCATGGGCTCTAGAGCGCAGCCTCAGTAGTTGTGGTGCACGGGCTTTGTTGCTCCGCGGCATGTGGGACCTTCCCGGGCCAGGGCTCGAACCCGTGTCCCCTGCCTTGGCAGGTGGATTTCCAACCACTGCGCCACCAGGGAAGCCCTAACTTCAATTTAAAAAGCTTTCCTTTCTATGGAGAAATGATGTTAAGGAGGAATTGGGTTGAGTTCTCCTTGACTAATGTATTTGCATTTATGGGCGGCTGTTTGGATCACATGACCTCCACTTGGTGACAGTGACCCTGAGCTGTTGACAGAGCCTCAGAACATAAACAACTGCTCCCCCTGGCCTGGTACAGGCCACCTCTGATGTGGTGACAAACAGCGCAGTATTCCTGTCTAATGTGACAGTCCGGCTGGGTCAAACTGGTTAATGTCCATCAGGATTAGAGAGGAGTGACTTAGGTTAAGTTAGAACATGAAACGAATTTGCAGTATGACCAGTACCGTGGAGCTAGTAAATACTATCAGTCATTAGCCTGAGTGTGTATAATACATACCTCTTTTAATCCAAATGATGAGTAAGCCCTCTGGCTCATTCCTGAGCAATTTATCATTCAAAGGTGTATTGTTATTAGCCAACCACAATTATAGGTGTGACTGATGTTCTAGGTTTGTATCTCCAACACTATCTGTAAGATACCAAGACTGATTAAGTAGGTCAATGTAGGAGGTGATGGGTTAGATACATTTTTTAAAAATGTGTCCACCTGATGACCTTTAGAAGAGTATACTTATAAAAGAACATGTTTTTCTTCTTCATAATTTTATTTATTCATTTTATTGAAGTATAGCTGATGTACAACGTTATATAAGGTACAGGTGTACAATACAGTGATTCACACTTTTTAAAGATTATGCTCCATTTATAGTTATTATAAAATATTGGCTACATTCCCTGTGTTGTACAATATATCCTTGTACCTTATTTGATATGTAATAGTTTGTACCTCTTGATCCTCTACCCCTATCTTGCCTCTCCCCCCCTTCCTTCTCCCCACAGATAACCACTAGTTTGTTCTGTATATCTGAGTCTGCTTCTTTTTTGTTATATTCACTAGTTTATTGTGTTTTTTAGATTCCACATATAGATCATATCATACGGTATTTGTCTTTCTCTGTCTGAATTATTTCACTCAGCATAATACCCTCCAAGTCCATCCATGTTATCACAAATGGCAAGATTTGATTCTTTTTTATGGCTGAGTAGTATTCCATTTTGTGTATACACCGCATCTTCTTTATCCATTCATCTGTTGATGGGCACTTAGGTTGCTTCCATATCTTGGCAATTGTAAATAATGCTGCTATGAATACTGGGGTGCATGTATCTTTCCAAATTAGTGTTTTGGGTTTTTTTTGGATATATACCCAGTAGTGGAATTGCTGGGTCATGTGGTCACGTTTGAGGAAGAAGATGTATTCAGTTGAGACTGTCAGGACAAGAAGGGATTTTGATGGTTCAGATCATCTTTTCCATTATCTTCAGTCATGGCCAAGGCAGACCATGTTGGTCTTGTTGAGTTGCAAGAGTCACCTTCTGACCATGTCACTCCTTCGATTAAAACTTCTCAGTGCTGGGACTTCCCTAGTGGTCCAGTGGTTAAGACTCTGTGCTCCCAATGCAGGGGGCCTGGTTTTGATCCCTGGACAGGGAACTAGATCCCGCATGCCACAACTAAAGATCCTGCATGCCGCAGCTAAAAAAGATCCCACGTGCCACAACTAAGACCGTGCGCAGCCAAATAAGTAAATAAATAAATATTAAAAACAAACAAACAAACAAACTTCTCAGTGATGCCCTGTCACCTACACCAATGGTCCTCAAACTTAAATAATAGGCGGACCCATTCTAAAGGAATAAGAATTCTTTTGGATCCTTAGTATTGGCTTAAATTATTTTAATCCTAATTTTACCTAAACACTAGCAAACATAAACCTAGATGCAATTTTTTATGTTTATAGCACATATATTTATAAAGCCAAAACAAATTTATAAAGTAAACATAAAACCAATAAAATCTGAATTAATGTTAATTTAACGTGATTAATTGGCTGGAGCCAATCGTAGTTCACGACATGGTATTGTTTGTGCTGGAGCACATTCTTTTTTGTTTGGCTTACCTGTATGACATGGGTTTTTTACTGACTTAATTCTACAGCTATTTTGTTTGTTCCACAGTAAATATCTTGGTTCATCTTATCATTTGGGATTCAGTTGGGTGCAAATGCACATTTTGTCTATGAGTCCATCTCTATTTATTTACTTGATTATATAAGATACTTATTAAATGCTTGCTCTATGCCGGGCACTGCTCTAGATGCTGGGGATATCACAGTAGGCAAGAGAAATCCCCCTCTTGTAGGAGAGTGCAATGGGGAAGGGGAAGTGAGAGACCAGGAGACTCTAGTAGCCTGCATAATGGCCTCCAGGTTACCAGGTCCTAATCCCTGGGAACTGGCAAATGTGAATAAGTTAAGGATCTTGAGAAGGGAAGATTATTTTGGGTTATTTGGGTGCGCCCTAAACACAATCACATGTATCCCTATAGGAGAGGGACAGAGGGAGATGTGACACACGCGTGGAGGGGATGGTGATATGAAGATGCGGCAGAGAGAGAGATGAAAATGCTGACGTGGATTGGAGTGATGCAACCATAAACCAAGGAGTGCCAGAGCCACCAGAAGCTGGAAGAGGCAGGAAATAGATTCTCCCCTAGAGCTTCTAAGGAGAATGTGACCCTGCCAACACCTTGATCTTGGCCACTGATACTGATTTTGGACCTCTGGTCCCCAGAATGTTGAGAGAATAAATTTCTGTTGTTTTAAGCCACCATGGTTTTGTAACTTGTTACAGTAGCCATTAGGAAATGAATCCAGAGCCATATTAAGTACATGTATTTGTAATATAATTTCAGATGCAGATAAACATGGTGAATAAAAATAAATCAGAGGAATTCCCTGGTGGTCCAGTGGTTAGGACTCCGTGCTTACACTGCTGAGGATGTGGATTCGATCCCTGGTCAGGGAACTAAGATCCTGCAAGCCGCGCAGTGAGGCCAAAAAGAAAAAGAAAAAAAAAAAATCAGGGGTGGGAGGGTAACTGGATTAGGGGTGCATTTGCAGATATGTGGTACAAAAGCACTCCAGGCAGAGGGAATGCTAAGGCAGCGATCTTCAGTCTGGAATATGTTTAGTGGGTGAGACGGACAGCAAGAAGACCAGTGAGATAGGGATCAAAGATCAAGGCAGGAGAGAGATGGGAATGAGGACAGAGAAGAAGGTAGTGGTCAGGTCATGCAGGGCCTTCAAGGCCATGGGGAAGAAGCTGGATTTTATTCTAAATGCCATGTGACGTGATCTGGTTTGTGATTTTAAAAGATTACTCTGGATCTTTTCTTTTCTTTCTTTCTTTTTTTTTTTTTTTGTGGCTTGAAACAACAGAAATTGATTCTCTCACAGTTCTGGAGGCTAGAAATTCAAAACCAAGGTGTTGGCAAGGTCCTTCTGGAAGCTCTGAGGGGGAATCTCTTCCACCCTCTCCTATGTCCTCAGCATGCCTTGGCTTGTGGGCGCATCACTCCAATCTCTG